TAGTTATTTCCTTAGCTTAAGAGTCCGTGGTTACTGAAAATTTACATTTTTTAAGCCTTTAATCGTTTTTCAGAAAAATCCACAGAGTAATGAGTTCTTTAATGGGCATGAAAGGTGTTGAGCCAAAAATTTAAAAAATTGATAAAAATTCACAAAACCTGCGGAAAAATGCAAGTTTCTTCACTTTGATTATTTTGACGAGAGCCTGATTTCCACCACCCTGCCTCACAAATGTTCTTTCTGCTCTATCAAAATCGGAATGTTATTTAATATTGGAGTTGTTATCAAGATATTGACAGAATTGAATAAAAAAATCTTGACACATTATTATTGTGCCACTCAAAATTGTTTACGCCAAATTTGTCAAAACTAAGTACTGAGCAGATAGAATTTGGTATAACTGAGGTAGCAAAGTGTAGCACATTGCATAGACTATGTGTGCCCTGTTAGGGCATCATACTGTGGGTGGTTAGTGGGTGTCCCGGTGTAGTTCGCTCCTTCTTTCCTACCAAACAATCATTGCTGTTATCTCTCCTCCTTCTTTTTAAAGTTTTTCTCTTGCAACACCTCTAAATCTTTGGCCTAACTGCAAGAGCCTTAAACTCTCTTACAAAAACAAAATAGGACTACATCTACCTCTCATGTTTCTTACCTGATTTACTGATAACTTCAATTTTCTAAGATACTTGGATTTTAGTTTTTGTTTTGGGAAAAGGGAAGGAGGCTGGATGGCATTATTTCATAAAAAATAAGTTTATGGTTTTATGTGGCTGCAGGTGTATACGCCATACGCACTTATTTTATATTTTCTTATACATAGACTTTAACAATTATAATCAGGAATAAATCGTTCTGAAGTTTTCAAGCGCGGATAATTATCCTGATTTTGCTCTAACTTTTTTTTTTTTTACATCAAGAATATATTTATTTCATGCAGCTGTAAATTTAACACCTTATAACAGGGTTTTCTAAGTTCAGAAGAAAGAATAATCTACACTCAATAATGATGTTACAGTATGGTCAAGGCTTAAAACCCTATTCGACATTGTAAGATTTTTACATAAACCAGACATAATGTAAGAAAAGAAAACCCAAACAAACGCACATATAGAGAAGATAAATAAAACTCAAATTCAAACATAATTATGCACCGATACGCAAACAAA